TAAACCAGACTTACAAATTAGATCAAGGAACTTTTGGTGTCAACCAGTACTTTGCTTTATCAGACTAGATACTACTGGAAAGTCCTCTTTTTACAGTGTCCATCACATGCGAATGCTTTTTCTATAAACATTGACTGTGCTTTACAATGATTATACTCCTGACAAGTAACCAATGGAATTAGTGAAGAAGCTAGGATAACTTGCATTGGACTCAGGCGCCCGCATAAACCAGTTCTGTCTCTAGTGTCTTTAATGGTTTAATCTTTTACTATTAAGGTTGCAAGATAGAATACTATTGTACTAGCTTGCATATCAATGAGGAAAACCATGCATTTTTAAATGGTAATGAATATGCCATGAGTATGTGAAAATAATGATTAATAATAAGCCTTTAACAGCTTAAAACATTGGTCAGATTCTAGTTTCCTTTTTCACATGGAACTGTTGCAGGAATACCCAATCGTGGTTTTGGGTAATTGGATGTCTAGACAGTGGCAAGAAATTGTTGTTGGATAGATGTTCAATTTTTTTTTTTTAGCAGCGCTGAACATGTGGTATTGCACAACGAAAAGTGTTTGCCTTCTAATTCCGGAAGAACAAAAAATATTGAGGCATGTCTCGTGTTGTCTCGCCTCACAGGATAAGGTGGTGATCGGAGTGGCCTTTGACTGTGTGGAAAAGATGGTTTACTGGACTGACATCACTGGGCCCTCCATCAGCAAGGTTAGCTTGCATGGAGGAAAGCCTGTGCCAATCATCTCTACAGGTGGGCTGGATCTTTGGTTTGTTCTTCTTGGGAATGGGAGTTCACTTTACTACTATATATTCACCTGTGTACAGTGATTTAACTGTGTGCCAGTAGCAAGGCCCTTAAAATAAAAATAGGGGTTAAGAGCTTAGTTAATTAGAACCTCATGCGTGTGTAACATGAATAAGCAATTTGCATTCAGTTTTATTAATAGTGTTATTAGTAGTCAAGTAAATACATTAATATACAACACAAAGCAA